GGGGGGAGGGGGGTGAAGATATAAACTGGAATGGCCCAATAGCACAAAAAACTCCTACCTCTTTAGCTTGTTGTCTTGCTTCATAGTAAGGCCTGGCTTTCTCTATACAACTGCCAAGTTTTTTAGCCAAATCATTCAGACTCAGTGTTGACTCTGAGAGTGACTGACGAAAAACAGCTCTGGATTCCTAGAGGAGAAAACAGACAGAAGTTAGTACAGCGAACCTAAAGCCTGGTTGGGCAACAACTTTGTAATGCAATTTTAGATCAAATTTTTTTCAATGCAGATAGAAGTTAGTACAGCAAAGGAAAAACAGTCTTTTCTAAAGCCTGGTTGGGCAACAAATTTGAAATACAATTTTAGATCAAATTTTTTTCAATGCAGACAGAAGTTAGTACAGCGAAGGAAAAACAGTCTTTTCTAAAGCTCAGTTGGGCAACAAATTTGAAATACAATGTTAGATCAGTTAGTACAATGTAGGGCAAACAGGCTTTTCTAAAGCCTGGTTGGGCAACAACTTTGAAATACAATTTTAGATCAAATTGTTTTTCCAATGCAGACAATCTGTGACGTTGTTGTAAAACAAACATGGATTAGGTATTTGTTAGTTCTGCTTTTCATGAAGATTATTCAGTTACAAGTACGTGTGGAATGCAACTGAAAAAACAACAACAAATACCCTTCCTAATTGTTGCAGGGGGCTGATAATGAACACATTCAACATTGTGGAGTTAATTACAATTTTGAAGACTACTTAAATGTGTTAAATACAAATCAAAGAATTTCTGTAATGCAATTCAGAACGAGTAATCACAATTTAGCATTGAAAAAGGAAGACACACCCATCCAAAAACACCATTAGAAAATGGGATTTGTAGACATTGTTCATTGCATGACATAGAAGATACGCTTTCTTTTGGTATGTCCAAAATACCAAACACACCAAAAAGAAACTCTCTCCAGTATTTTATTCCCAAAAAAACCCATCACTAATCTGAAGAAATTCATTTATTTAAGGAAAAGTAGTGACAAAAATACTGCTGTTAGGTGATTTTATTTAAAATTCTTTCATTTTAAGAAATGAGTATTTTCTTGATTTGTAATACTGACTTGACTTTCTCTCTTTTACTGGTACATTCATTTTATATACATATTGCAATTAACCAATAGAAAATGTTATTTTCAATAAAGTTATTATTATTGTGGGGTTGTGTAAGGTAGTGACCTGAAAAATTCTGTTTGTAAATGATGAAATAATTTACATTTTTTAGACATAATATAAGAGTTACATTGCAGGAACCTGATGTGAAATCTAACAGAACCAATCAGCAATCCATCTATCATGACTGCATTCAATAGCTCATTCTTGTTCTGTTAACATACTAGCCTGAGGAATTGCAAATTGATAAATTTTAAACTTTTCATAACGAGTTTCTCGCCCAAATTTGTCTGCACTTTTTTCTTATATTCTTCAATATTTCTGGAAATGAACCCTTATTTTGGAGCCAATAGACAAAATTTGAGCCACTTTTACTCGAAAAAATTGGATTTTTTTGTCCCAATCTTCTGAAGGAAAGTGCAGACTATAAACAGGAATATTTTGTGATGAAAAGAGGGAACTGGTGGTGGAAAGATTAAGTGTTACATATTTCAGCGTTAATCAGTTTTTTTTTTATTACAGTTGCTGGTAGTTTTTTGTTTCCTATATTTCACATTCAACTTATCAAAAATCTGTGAAAATAAATTTCATACAAAACATCCAAAAAGCCTTTTCAGCAAAAATTAATTCTACAAAAAAAATTATGTACATGTGGCAGTCCAATTTTTCAGCAGGTTCAGATTACATACTAATACATACAATGTATCTATTTGGAATAGATCATATGCAAACATTAACCCAAGTTGAGCTCATAAGGAACCAATGAAGGACATTTTACATACATTGCCCTGAACTATTAAAATATCCAATGAGAATTAGAGAATAACTTACATCAAGTTCTACCTCCAGCTTGTTAATTTCATCTGTTGCAATGTTTAGTTTCTCAAGTTCCTCCTGTAGATAAAACATTGTAATTTATAAATATTTATAGAGATGAAGGGAATGCCTTTGTTGCGCTGAGAGTAAGATACACACTTTAAAATTTAAAGTTTTTATGGAAAAGCAAAACCAGCTATGGAGTTACACATGTAAGAATTGTCCAAATGTTCTGTATGTGAAATTTATTCATTATTCAACATTTGGTTTGTACAATTTTCCTCGATGTGGTATTATTTGAGAGACCGCTCCTCATCCCTAGTACACACAGACAACAAAACTCCCCTCAAGTTTTGGCATTGTTCCTGTATAAAAAGAAACCACTCAAAAAAACAATTTTCAATTTTTTTCCCTCTTCTTTTCTTTATTCAAATGTCTTGTGTTTTTTTTTTTTTGCTATCTTTTTGTATTACTTTATTGTATTTTCAACTAAGATCCCACTCCGGGATATGGTTTCAATAAAGATTATTATTATTATTAAATTTACAGCTCGTGGCTATATCTGCAGAGTATTAACCAGGAATTATAATAATAATAATAATAATAATAATAATAACTTTATTGCATTCTTAGAAATACAATGTTTCTATCAGTTAGGTGTTTCATATCAGATGGCATTTTCATTTCTCGATTAATTGAATGAGTTTTTATAATCTTTGAATTCATCAAAAAATTAAATTTCTGGATATCATCCTGTGTTCTTGTGGAAATGTAATGTCTTGTATGATTTGTTGACGTATTAACTGGTATTGAGAGCATATCATAACAAAGTGCAGTTCATCTTCTATTTCATTCTGTGTATATTGTCTGCAAATTCTATTTCAGTAGGTACTTTTCAAAAATATAAAATAGAAAGTGGCTGTCAAAAACATGCTGAAAACTTGAAGTTTAGCTTTGTAAATGCCAACATTGTCTAAGAACACAAACAAAATAATAAGACGTTGGCTCTCTCTCTCTCTCTCAAAAAAAATAAATAAATAAGAAAAAAATTAGGGTTAGGGTTTGGGTAACTCTTTCCAAATAATTGTCTTCCAAGTTGACAGGTACAGTAACTGGCTAATACATTGGTTATCGGCCGACTTTACACGCATTTAACAACGTCGCAAGCCAGCTGATTAAATCAAATACTTCCGCATTAAACTTCACCTTCGTGTGAAGGGGGAAATGATATTTTTTTTTTTCAAACACAAGTTTCGTAGACACATATTTTCAAAACTTTATTGGTTCACATGTAACCAGAAACTGAAACCGTGGAACGATAATTAAATTGTGTCTGCGTTTAGAAAACAAAATAATATTAATAAATACCCACAATTCGTTTTTTAGAACACCACTGTGCAACACCATGTTTATTACACAGTCACAGTTCAACGACTAGTAGTTTAAATTAGATTATTAACACACTTCGCGTTATACAACAACAGTAACGGTGTCTTTGTTTGGAATTTAAATTTGCGTCATTGATCCGCTAACTGCACGTTGTCGTTGAACTTGACAAATGTGTCAAAACACAGCAGCTGCAATCTCGACAAACAGATTATTCGACATTCAAACTACATAAATCAATTGCTAAGCTCGTTTGAAACCTACCTTCACACGGGGGTCCAACGTCTCTTCGTCACATGAGATGTTTTCGCTTGATTCTTCGACAGAGTCGTGATATAGAACTCCACTTTCAGCCATCTTTGAAAGTGTTTCCAAGTCTCGCGAAATCTCGCTCAATGTACATCACGCATATAGCGGGGTTTCTGTTCCTGTGAACTTGTAAGGTGAACCAACGAGGAATAAAATGATACTATGAAAAAACGTATCCGAGCATAGAAGTTCCAGCGTTGTTACTTTTTGCGAGTCTGTTTTGAAAATAACATCGTAGAAAATTATTAAATCCGTCTTAGAGAAACCACAAAGTTAGGTGGCCCACGTAGTTCTGTGTCAGGTGACACATGACCTTTGCATAAGGTCACGAACTTCATTGAATACGATAACCGCGGCAGTAACGTACATGTCTTGGTTATGGCGACTATACATTTTTTGGTTATTTGTTGCTTAATTGTTTGTGCGGGATTCCGATTTGCTGTGGCGGATTATATTAACCTAAATGGAAAGTGGGATGTTACTAACGCAGACGGAAGTAAGTTACTTTTCCATCAGTTTTCGATTTAAACATTCACAGTTTCCGCAAACTGTAGTGTATGGTTGTATTGTAGCCCCGCCCACTTATTGTCTAGGTACCAGACTAGCCTTTTGACCCGGTGTTATAATTTGAAATGTTTTTAAAATGCTGAAGTAATCGATCTTTGTGCTGTTATACAAGCTGAGAGAGTTGCTCTCTGTGTGTCTACAGCAGCCCGACCGTGTCAACTTTGCCTTTTCTGCTTTCATGGAATTTCTGACTCTTCGACTGACTCCATGATTACGCACACACACCAAGATATTTTTCACCTGAATGAGCAAGTGTCATGTCAGGGTCCATATCACCAAGAGCCAAATGATTTCCAAGACTTTTCCAGACCTTTTCCTAAACTTTCTTGCATTTTTCCAAGACATTTCAACACTTAATTCAGCCAACACTTGTCGGAACAGGGGTAGAAAACACTTTATAAAAAAACACTCTATGCAGAGAAAATGGGCGAAAGTGAATTAGGTAATAAATATGAAGAAATTTAAAGACTTTTCAATTTATTTTTTTATTTTTCCTGTAATTTAAAGACAACTCAAAGACTTTCCAGACCTCAAAAAATTTAAAGACTTTCAAAAGATTTTCCCAATGCTACCTGCATGTGGACTTTTTTTTTTTTTTGAAAATCCATCTCCCGGAAGATGTAGTTCTACCACGTTATCATGTTGGTTCACGATTAGGCTGAGAAAAAAAAATATCTCTGTTACTCGTTTCAGCGCTCATTATTTTGAACTATGCGCCTCAAACGTTTTTTTTTCTTTCTAAAGCATTCCAAAATGCGCTTGTACTCACACTTGTCTCAAATTTGCCCAATTTTTCAAAATGATGCGCGCGGAAACGAGAAACTGAGACATTTTTTTTTTCAGCCTAAAACCATTTATTTTCACTGACATTTAATTTCACTATTTAGATGCTTTGTGCATATTCACTGGGTTTTAAGTTCACAAACTTGGCAGGAAAACAATGAGTTCTATTGTTATTTTTCATGTTCACGTGGACTTAATTAATTGAGTGAATTTTACTTCTCGACGAAAATTGCAAAATTAAAAACCAGCGAATAATTATTGCATTTACAGTATATGGTAAAAGGTGGCAAAGGTCATCATTAGTTGACTTTAATTCAGCAGAGGACACTACCCAAGATGACAGCCCTTGCATAGTAATGAGTGATGACTAATACCCCTATACAGTAGTATTGTTCAAGCATAACTGAACCTTTTCACCACCAGACTTTCTCACCCAAATTTTTCTGCATTTGTTTCTTCAATATTTCTGGAAATGAACCCTAATATTGGAGCCAAACAGACAAAATTTGAGTCAATTTCCAGTTTTTACTCAAAAAATTTGGCTATTTTTGTCCTAATCTTCTGAAGAAAAGTGCACTATAAACAGGATTATTTTGTCAATTTGAAAAGAGGGAACTGGTGGTGCTGGAAGTTTCACCACCAGAAATTCTCACCCAAATTTTTCTGCACTTTTTTCTTCAATATTTCTGGAAATGAACCCTAATATTGGAGCCAAATAGACAAAATTTGGTGAAATTTTCCAGTTTTTACTAAAAAAAAAATCCTAATCTTCTGAAGGATTATTTTGTGAATTTGATGAAAAGAGGAAACTGGTGGTGCTGCATGTTTACTTCAATCATGAATCGTGTTCAGTCATCACGGTGTGAATGACTGCTATGCATGCAGCAAAAGATTTACGGGCAGTATGTATCTACAAAACCATAAATAAAGTTGTTTTCCACTGCAGGGATCACTAATCAATGTCTGTCCACCTGTCCCAAAGAAGTAAATTTTAGTAGCTAAACAAAGAAATTGGTTACATGCCCCCATGGTTAGGTCAATAAAGATATCAAGTTTTAACTATTTGGCCAATTGCGACAGCAAATATGCTTATATTGTCCTTATGTAATAAATATGGTGAACCAAAAATAAAAATTTGATTTTAAATAATGTATTTATGTATCTTGCTAGATAATCAATTGAGACAGGCACGTTCAATGGGCCGTTCTCGTTGAAATCCTGTCGAAATGATTTGACAGACTGTATTTAGAGGTAATTCCACACTTCTTAATGTGCTATACACATTTGATGTTGGTTAATTTTGATGAAGTTAAGGAGTCTCATTGCAATATCCCACATATTTCAAAGATGGGGTTTTCAACATTGAGCCATATAAAAATGAAGATTACTGTAAAAGGATTAATTATTCACTGGGTTTTAATTTTGCTCATTGCGCTGACTGGAAAATGCGCTAAATTAAAACCCAGTGAATATTTAAAATTTAGCATAGGACACATTATCTAAATGATAAAACCGTGAATTTAAAACCCACTGAATATGCCTGAAATGGAAAATCAGTGAAATTTAGTTATTTTGCAGTAATTCAAATCAACATTGTTTGTTCTTTTGCAGCAAACGTTCTGTTTGTGCCTTTCACACAATACGCAAGATCTCGCAGTTAACAGAAAATCACTTATTCCCAAACTGTCCATTGAACGTGTTCAATTTTTAACCTGTATTTTATAATTTTTACAAATTTTTGTTGTTATTAATTTATTTCAGTTTGATTTATTTGTTTAGATAGATTGTTTTGCATTTTTTGATGTAGGTTGATTTAATAACCAAAACTTTAAAAATTACCAGCGAAAAAAAAAAAAATGATACATTAAAATAAAATAAAATAAAATAAAATAATACAATAACAGAAAAATTAAATAAAAAAAGGCAGGACAGAAAATAAAAATAGTGTAATTCTCTCTTTGCACTGTTACCAAAAAACTGTCAGTTGCCAAGGAAACTCCAGGGTATGAATAACAAATGATCCCAGTTTCTAAGTTAAGGAAGTAAATTCTAAGAAAACTTCTACTAATTCCTTGTACGAAATGGATATTTTATTTTACTGCTCCCAGAAGCGATAACTTTTGAAGCAGACATTTAAACGCTTGATTAAAGTGCCTTTTCAGAAAACCTATAATTTGTACATGGATATCATCAATAATTTCAACTCATTCTTTGGAATATTTACCTATATTACTAAATTGAGACGTTTTTGGACAGATTAATTCCTCTGCACAATTTATAGATGTGGCTAGTTAGACATTACGTTATGTTGAACAATG